GGTCAGGGTTAACCCCCGAGCGTGCACAGTGGAAGTGCGGTCTGTTTGGGCTGGTTTCAATGGCTGGATGGAGGATGGAGCTCCTGTGCAGCGCCAGGGCCGGGTTCTAAGGCTGTGAGCAGGGGAGAGCTCCTGTTAAAGTGCGTAATCCTGAAAGTCCTGCCTGGGAAAGCGCCTGCCCTTGAAGAACCTGGGACGAGGCTGTGCTTGTGTTCCCACAGGTAAAGGACCTCGCTGGGTCCCTGCAGGATGGGCTCCTCCGGTCTTGTCTTCTGCCTCTTCCTCACAACAGGACTGCCCCTACCGTGGCTTCCGCCCAGCCACAAGAGAGCATCTGCAGCCAAGGGACAGGACAAGACACCCTGTGCCTGCCGGGTGCCAGAGCCAGGAGTGCTTTCAGGCTGCTGTGGGATGCCTGGGTGGGGGCTGGCATTCCCTCAGCTGCTCCAGCAATGGCAGCCTCGGTTCCTGGGCTCACGGGGGATGCCTCGGGTACAATAACCAGGAGCTGTTTGCAGCCACAAGAGATTCCTCTGTTAACACTGTAAAATGGATCTGGATCTGCATCCACCCTTCCATGTGTGCCCCAGCCGCAGGCACAGCCACCCTGCTCTGCACACATATGCACCCATGTCCAGTGCACCCATGGCCTCCCGAGATAACAGCCCCTGGACAAGCCCCAGCACGAGCATGGATAAAGTGGGCTTTGGAGGCACAGGGCTCTAAGGGACATGGGGTCCACACGGATGCTACCACAAGAGGCAGCCAGGATGAAGCTGGGTGGCAGGGGGTCACTGTAGGGATGCTGCGGACAGGATGGGGACAGGTTGCACAGGCTGGCAGCAAGGTGGCATCTGATGGCTGGGAAAGGCTCCCTGAGAGCTGCAGCACAGGGACAGCAGCCAGGCTGTAGCAACAGTCATGGGTGCAGAGCAGATTCTCCTGGAAGGCATGCTAAGGGACATGGAAAACAACAAGGTGCTTGGTGACAGCCAGCATGGCTTCACTAAGGGGAAATCCTGCCTGACCAATGTGGTGGGCTTCTAGGATGGGGCTGCAGAACTGATGGACAGGGGTAGAGCAGTTGATGGCATCTCCCTGGACTTGTGCAAAGCGTTCGACACTGTCGCACACGACATCCTTGTCTCTAAACTGGAGAGACATCAATTTGATGCATGGACCACTCAGCAGATAAAGAACTGGCTGGATGGCCGCATGCAGAGTTGCGGTTAATGGCTCAATGTCCAGCTGTAGACCAGTATCGAGCACCCTTTTCATTGTTTTTTATACCCTTCCTTTCATTAAAGCCAAAACAAGTGTGATCAGGTCACACAGTCCTTTTTGTACTCCTATTGCTGTCTTTACAAGCCCAAACACTGACTGCTGATTCCTATAGGAGACCATAAGTCAAGGTAAGAAGTAGTGAAGTCCACGTAGCATTTCTATTGCTTGTGTCCTGGAACTGCCTCCCCTGATTGGAACCAGTTGGGTTTTTAAGTGCCCTCCTTTAACCTTTCAAATCACAAGCTATGGAGATGCCTGTGGTTCCTTTCCTGTGTGCTTGGAGGCGCAGACAACAGGGACATTCTTTGCTTCCGAGGTTGCTGCTGATTAGAGCTTGTGCTTACAACGTGGTGCGATCCTGCACCGCTTGCAGCCAAGAGGTCCAGAGCACACTTCTGATGGAACACACATGACACCAAACCACTGAGGGCCTTGCCTTCAGCTTGAGTGGGATGAGCTTTTGGTTAAGTTCTTGTGTTTCATGTTCTGGCTCTGCAACAGCCAGCGTGGCCCCAACAAAGAGGAGGTCTCCTTTGTGGGAGAGGGAAGAATGAAGGCAGAAGAAACCCAGTTACTCAGATCTTCAGTGCTGACAAAGACACTGAGTGGAATCCATGCAAAGCAGCTCAAAAATACTGCTGTTATTTGGAAGTGAAGATAGGAAGCAGCCTGAAACTTCACTGCACTGTACAGCAAGAAGCTGGGACGATTCGTGTAACAGCAAAAAGTTGGATTTATTGGCACAAATTTGTTGTAGCAACAATCATGGGTGCAACCTGTGGGCACCCAGAGCCAATGATTGCAGTGGGGCATAGTGGTGGCACTGGGGCAGCGCTGAGCACAGCAGATCCCCCAGTGCCATCCTGCCCGTTCCCGTCCACCTGTTGGAATGCTGGGACTGGGAGAAGAGGCAGCGCCAGCAACCAAAGCAGGAGAAACCCCTCCTGCCTGAGTAAGTGCTGCCCTGGCTGGGCTGAGTGTGTGCTTGGGGGTCTCCCCTCTGCAGCCCTGCTGTCTGGGGGAACCCTTTGTGGATCGCTGCAGCTCTGCTCAGAGGGGACACTTGTGTTGCCTCTCAGCCTTCTGAGAGCGGGTGGTCAGGATCCATCCCCTGGCACTAACCCTCTTTTCCTTGGCTGCAGAGCCCCCATCCCAGCGCTGGCCATGCAGAGCTCCTGCATCCCCAAAGCCCCTGCGCTGAAGCAGAGGCGAGTGGAGAGGTGAGACAGGCACCAGCACCCTGTGCCCCTCAGTGCTCTGTGCAGGCAGCTCCTGCCTCTGCTCCCCGCTGGGGCTCGAGCCCCCATCCTTGCCTGTGTCTGTGCCACCTCCCCTGTGCCAGCTGGGGATGATGGGGGCCTCTGCCCTGAGCTCTGGGGTTGGAAATGGTCCCTTTCTCTTTCACAGCGTCGCCTTCCCCTGCCCGGATGGGCTCCAGAGCCGCACTGCCCACCTGCAGCGCAGCAGCAAGAGCTGTGTGCAGCCCTCCCGCATCCCAGGTGAGTCCTGTGCTCCTCCACACCCAGGCAGGCACCCAAGGAAGCCCTTTCCCTGCAGCGAGATGGGCTGTGGGAGTGCTCCCTGCCTCAGCAAGCTGCTGCTGTGCCAGCCCCATTCTAGCCTGGGGGGGGCAAACACCTGGGAATGGGATGTTTGGTGCTGCTGGAAGATGCCCTTTGGGGTTTGCTGTTCCTGGCTGCAGCCACAGCCTTGGGAAGGGCGCTGGGCCCTTGGAGAGGGGTGGGAAGGAGGAGGCTCGGATTCTCCTCGGGAAGGGGCTCTGGGTTTGCTGCTGTTGCCCAGGAGCTGCCTCATCTGCTTCTCTGCTCTTGTCTTCCTCAGAGCCTCGTTGGGGGAGCAGCACCCGGAAGGGCCGCAAGAGGAGACCCAAAGAACTCACCCCTGTCCCCCCTGCCCGCACCCCCCAGCCAATGAAGCTCTTACGCTGATGGCTCCTGGATCCCTCCCCATGTCCCTAACCCGGTTCCCAGATTTCTTCCTTCCTCTACGTCCTCCTTGCAGCCCCACCACGATCCCCTTCAGCCTTTCTGCTTCTCACACTCGTCCCCCCCATTCCCCGTCCCCCCCATTCCCCGTCCCCCCATTCCCCATCCCCCCATTCCCCACACATGGGGCATGTGAAGAATGAAGTTGTGTTCTTAATACATGGTTTGGTTCAAAGCAGAGGGCTGAGCTTCTTGTCCCCCCTCCTGGGGGGAGCTGGGTTTGGGCCTGGCAAAGGCCCTTGCTCCTGGGGCTGAGCTCCTTTGTGGCTTCCCCCCTCATCCGGGGGCTCCTGCGGGTGCCTTCTGCCCCCTTGCCTGTGCTGAGGGGTCCAGCTGGTGCCGTGTCCTGGAGCGCAGACCCAGCTCCTGCTGCTTTGTGTGCTTCTGTGCTGTTCCCCCTTGCTAAAACCCTGCTGCTGCCCCCCTCTCTGTGTCCCCCTTGCTCCAGCTGCTTGCAAAACCCCAGGCCTGGGCCAGACAGCTCTGAGCATCCCTACCCTGGGACCGCATTTGTCCCTTGCACCCTCTGACCCCCTTGGCTGCCTTGGCAGGGCACATCCGGGCACTGGCACATCTGGCTGCCTGCACCAGCTCCTCGTAGCCCCCTCCAGGATGGCCAAGTGCGGTGGGAGCAGGATGGATGGGGCCGTGGCTCTGGGTGTGCTGCAGGCCCGTAGGGACCGGGGTCACCCGCTCCTCCTGCCCTCCTTTCCTGCCTGCCAGCGCCACATTCCCCTTTGCCTGCTCCCAGCCTGGAAGCTTCCAATTCAACCTTCCAGGCTGCTCCTGGTTCCTCTGCCTCATTAAGGGGGGGCTGTGGAGGAGGAGGAGGAGGGAGCCCAGCGCTGCCTCCGCAGTGACGGTTTTCCATGCTTGGAACCCGGCTGCGGAGGAGCTGGGAGAAAATCCATCTGCAGGGAGCAGCGTGGGGGCTCGTGCAGGGCCCTGGAGCCCCTGCCCCGTGTGGGCTCTGCACCCCAGGCACTGCTGACACTTGATAGGGACAGGGGCCTGCTGGCCCCATGGGCTGTCCCACAGCGTGGGGCCACAGGGCGGTCACTGCTCCAGCAGCCTGGGGATGCCAAGCATCACCTATGGTGCAGGGAAGTGTCCAGGCTGAGGTGGTTCTGGGGGTGAAACTGCTGCCTTTTGCCGGTGACACTGGTGCAGGACAGGTTGTGGGCACACAGGGCTGGATGGGGACAGAGAACTTCTTGGGTTAAATGGGGATGGGGCAGCAAGAGGTTGGCCCTCAGCGCTGCCCCAGTGCCACCACTGCGCCCCACCCCAACCAGTGGCTCTGGGTGCCCACAGCTTGCACCCGTGGCTGTTGCTATAACCTCCCCAGTCTGGATGCTGTCGGTGCCCCAGTGCTGGTGGCTGTGGTCCAGCAGGGCCTGGCTGCTGTCCCTGTGCTGCAGCTCTCAGGGAGCCTTTCCCAGCCATCAGATGCCACCTTGCTGCCAGCCTGTGCGACCTGTCCCCATCCTGTCCGCAGCATCCCTACAGTGACCCCCTGCCACCCAGCTTCATCCTGGCTGCCTCTTGTGGTAGCATCCGTGTGGACCCCATGTCCCTTACAGCCCTGTGCCTCCAAAGCCCACATTATCCATGCTCGTGCTGGGGCTCCATCAATCAGAAACTGCCTAAGCCAATGAAAACGAACAAAACCAACCCTCTTAATACAAGTTTCTCCCTCGTGCTCCTACCCTAGCAGATGAACTGGGTAGAAGGGAAAGAACAGTTCACTTTCTGCACTCACAACTGGGCTTGAGCTCTAGAATGAAAATGCAGATCCAGATCCATTTTACAGTGTTAACAGAGGAATCTCTTGTGGCTGGAAACAGCTCCTGGTTGTTGTACCCCCAGCATCCCCCGTGTGCCCAGGAACCGAGGCTGCCATTGCTGGAGCAGCTGAGGGAATGCCAGCCCCCACCCAGGCATCCCACAGCAGCCTGAAAGCACTCCTGGCTCTGGCACCCGGCAGGCACAGGGTGTCTTGTCCTGTCCCTTGGCTGCAGATGCTCTCTTGTGGCTGGGCGGAAGCCACGGTAGGGGCAGTCCTGTTGTGAGGAAGAGGCAGAAGACAAGACCGGAGGAGCCCATCCTGCAGGGACCCAGCGAGGTCCTTTACCTGTGGGAACACAAGCACAGCCTCGTCCCAGGTTCTTGAAGGGCAGGCGCCTTCCCAGGCAGGACTTTCAGGATTACGCACTTTAACAGGAGCTCTCCCCTGCTCACAGCCTTAGAACCCGGCCCTGGCGCTGCACAGGAGCTCCATCCTCCATCCAGCCATTGAAATCAGCCCAAACAGACCGCACTTCCACTGTGCACGCTCGGGGGTTAACCCTGACCTGCCCTGTTCTGTTCCAGGCATCTGCTGTCAACGCCTCCTTTACAACACTGCCATGCCATTGGAATCTTTCTGCCTTTTGCCTTAGCATTTTCTAGCAGCTGCTGCGAATGGGCACGCTCCAACATCTCTTTTACAAGGGACAAATCCATACAAAATCCCAGGGAACCTCCCTATTAGACCCCTCCCAATGGGTGCTAGGACCCCCCCCCATAGCATCCCCACGGTGGACCCCCTCCCATCGCTGCTGGCATCCCCCTATGGGACCCCCACTAATGGGTGCTGGGACCCCCCGCATGGGCTCTCCCATTGGACCTCCCTAATGGGTGCTGGCAACCCCCCCCCCCCCCCCATGGGATTCCTCATAGTGGGTTCTGGGACCAGCCCTTGAGAACCCTCCCCATGGGTGCTGGGACCTCTTCACGGTGCCCCCCCACACTGGCTGCTGGGACCACGGCCCATGGGACCTCCCAATTGGACACCCACCAGTGGGTGTTGTGACCCCCCCACCAGTGGGTGCTGTGACCCCCCCAATGGGCTCTCCCTTAGGACCCCTCCCAGCGGGTATTGGGACTCCCCCCAAAAAAAACCTGCTGGAAATGTGTGCCCCCCCATCACACCCCCTCCCCCCCCCCGTAGCACCTCCCCAAAGCGTGTCCCCACTCCAAATCACCCCAGGGCTTGAAGCTTAAACCTCCTCCCCTTATGGACCCCCCCATGACATTAATGCTCCCCCTACCAGGGTGATGCATGAGGGTGTCCCCCCTTCATTGAGCTTTGCATGCTCACTATGGCTGGGGGGGGGGGGGGGGGGGGGGAGGGGGGGGGGTGCACACGACAACCAATGGAAGAGACCCAAGGGGCACCCCCCTGGGTGCTAGGACGAGCTTAATGTCTTGTTGGGCAGATGTTCACAGAGCAGTGATGGAGGAGAGGGGGATGCCCTGAGAAAGTGGGATGCTCCAGTTGGATGCAGGGATGAAGTGGGATGCTCCAGCTGGATGCAGGGATGAAGTGGGATGCTCCAGCTGGATGCAGGGAAGAAGCAGAACCATGGAAGGTTGGGTTCTCCTTCATCATTTGGGTGTGGAGAGCAGCCTTCAGCATGGATTGCAGCCATAGGACAAGGGGTGATGGGTTCTGGAACAGGGAAGTTCAGGTTGGAGATAAGGAAGTGAGGGTGCTGGGAGTCTGGGATGGGTTGGATGGAGAAGGACGGATGGGGCTCAGAGCAACCAGGTCTAATGGAAGCTGTCCCCCCTCCCTCTTCATGCCATGTTTTAATGGTGGGGCAATGACTGGACTTGATGCTCCTGAAGGTCTTTCCCAACCTGGTTGATTTCCTGCTTCCCAGCTCCTGCTTCCCACTGTTCCCTCCATCCCTCATCCCCATCCCTCCCCATGGACCAGAAGAAGAGGTGGGCATGCAAAGCATCCTCTCTGTGGGAAAATAAGGCAACTTTACTGAAGCTCGAGCCACGTGCAAGCGATGCCGCTCCTCAAGACTTCTCCCCCTTAGAGCCTGCAGCAACTCCTGCACCCGAGTGATGAATTCCAACAGCACCCGGACTGGGAAGTAGCAGAAGCCACTGGTGCTGGAGGCCGTGGGCGCCGGCATCGTCTCCTGGACGGGGGTATGGGAGACGTGCTGGTGGCTCCATGTCGGGGGCGTCGCGGAGGCTGCCGCGGAGCGGAACGTCCTCAGCTGGTAGAGGATCCAGTCGTGGAAGTGCTGCGTCGAGGTGTAGACCCCCGGTTTCTTGGCCCTGGCGCAGCCGCGGCCCCAGCTCGTCAGCCCCACAACCCAGTAGAAGTTGGCGCGCTTGTCCCGGCACATGAGGGGACCGCCGCTGTCACCCTATGGAGGAGAAGGAGAGAGGATGAGGATGGGGATGGGTCGCCGTGGCAATGCCGGAGGGGACCACCACTGTCAGCCTATGGGGATGGAAGGGTTCTCCTCCATCATTTGGGCGCGGAGAGGGACCTTCAGCATGGATTGGAGCCATAGGACGAGGGCTGATGGCTTCCAACTGGAAGAGGGGAGTTTGGGTTGGAGATAAGGAGAAGTTGTTCCCTATGAGGGTGGTGGGACACTGGCATGGGTAGGATGGAGAAGGATGGATGGGGCTTGGAGCAAGCTGGTCTAATGGAAGGCGTCCCTGCCCCTTGCTTAGAACTGGATGCTTTAAGCTCCTTCCCAACCTAAGGCATTCCATGAATCCCTGCTCATGACATGGTTTAGTGGTGGAATCTCGATGCTCTGAAAGCTCCAAGCTCTATGGTCCCTGCGCAGGGATGACGGACCAGGAGCCGGATGTGCTTCCGAAGCTGGGATAAAGGGGGATGCAGAGCAAGGCCCTGCAGATGGGAGAGGAGAAGGGAGCCCCAGTGGCACATCCCTACCTGGCAGGTGTCGATGCCACCCTGCGGGTACCCAGCGCAGAGGTTGTGTCTCTTGATGGCCCCTCGGTACCATTGGCTGCTATTGCAGAGCTTGACATCGATGAGGGGGACCTTGGCCTCCTGCAGGGCTGATGGGGACGATGCCCCCGCTGTGGGGACACAAAGGGGGTCAGGATTAGGGGGACAAGGGATGGATTTGGGGGTATTGGGGGCTGAGAAGCTCAATGGGAGCCGTCAACACCCCCTATGGCCTGGGCTGCATCCCCTTTGCTCTGCATCCTCAGCGTAAGGAGGACATGGAGGGACCTTCAGCGATGGGCCAAGGGCTGATGGGTTCCAACTGAACCAGGGATGCTCAGGTTGGAGAGAAGGAAGCGGTGGGACACTGGGATGGGCTGGATGGAGAAGGCTGGGAGGCTCCATCCCCAGTCGGAGCAACCTCCAGTAGACCTGGATGAGCTTTACCCTCCCTTCCATCCCATTCCATGAATCCATGACCCGGCATTCCAAGGCCAACGGGGCCGTCGGGCACTCACTTCTGGCCTCCCTCGCGCCCCATCCGCTGACGAAGCACTCGGAGAGCTGGGATAGCCTGAGCGTCGCATCGGGCAGGCAGGCGAGCTGCACGTGGTAGCCGCACTGCACCGGCTGGTCCAGCTCCAGCAAGGCGATGTCGAAGCCGCCGGAGATGCCGGTGTAATATTCATGGACCACGACCTGCCGGATCCAACGCTTCTGGGTCTCGGAATTGGCCCGAGCCAGGTCCGTGATTCCGACCATCACAAACCAATCCGTGGTGAAGCTGGGAGGCAGTGGAAGAGCAGGGGTTAGAGGCGTAGGACAAGGGGTGATGGGTTCCGACGGGGAATTGCAGGGTGGAGATAGGGAAGGGATTCCCTATGAGGGCGCTGGGGTACTGGGATGGGATGGATGGAGAAGGTTTGGATGCTCCATCCCTGGCAGTGCTCAAGGCAGGCTTGGAGCAAGCTGCTCTATGGACGGCATCCCTGCCCATGGCAAGCGGCTGGAAGTGGATGATCCCCAGCTCCTTTGCAACCCAACCCATTCCATGATCCATTCCATTCCATTCTATGGAGAAGAGGGGTGGGAAGGAGCCACATTCCTGCTGCTTCCCAAAGGAAAGCACTGCCCCAGCGCGCCTCAGGCTCAAGGGCTGTCAAGCTGGAAGCAGCCTTCTCCTGAGCGCTCTTCCCAGTGCATCCAGGATGGGGAAGGGGACGGGATGGGAGCTGCTCTTTGGCTATTCCCTATGGCTGGAATCCCTTCTCCCCCTTACTTTTGCCCGACGAAGCAGTGAGCGGCCGTGAGGACCCAGTGGGGGGTGATGAGGGACCCCCCGCAGATGTGCAAAGAGCCATTGGCCGTGGGGACCTGGATGCTGACCATCCACGGCCAGGCGCCCTGCTGCGCATCCACGCCTCCGAAATTGGTACCCGAACAGGGACCCCCCATATTTTTCATATTGAAACTGAAGGAATTAAAGTGTGTGGCACCGAAGAAAGTGGAAACCACGGAGCCTCAGGGACGTCAGCTGGGTTCGATCCGGCAGGACCAGGATCGGGAGGTAGACGCCTCGGAACGAAACCTAGTGAGCCCGGAAGACACTGTGCAGTGCAAATAAAGTAACAGCCAACGGGGTCTGGAAGACGGTTAGGATGGGAAAAAAAAATGGTTATCCTTAAGCTCTTCCAGCATATCCTCTCAGTGAGAGGGATAGAATATGACGATAATCTGTTAAAAAGATTGTTGCTCTGGGTAAAGAAAAAGAGCTGATCCAGGGGGTTAATGAAGCTTTTGATCTCGGGACTTGGAGAAAAATTGGGGCATGCCTGTGGGATCAAGTTACTCTTCGGTTTAAGGAGGCGAAGTCTCTTTCTGCCCCCTGGTTACTACTAAAAGGGACTCTAGCCGTAATGAAGGTGGC